CCCTCCCCGCGTTGATATCACTATACTGTGGTAAAAAGTGGGGTGGGGGGAACAACCAACCTTTCAATGGACATTTTCAATAGTAAAGGTAATGGGGGGGGGGGGGAAGTGGGGGGGAGGCCCTGCCCCCCCCCCCCCCCGTTGCTACGTGTCTGCTATAAGCATTATTACATTATGGTGGATCTCTAGCCTAATAGTCCATTTCATTATTTATATGGAAAATGCATAAGCCAGGCACATATAATATTAGAGCCCCCCCCCCCAACTTTTTACTGTTGAGAAAATTCATTGAAAGACCGGTGCCATCGTCGCAAACCACGGCCAAAATGTACGATCCTCTCCCATTCTGGAGAGAGCTATATGCGGACTCCGGACCGTGGCTTGAGACAATGGACCGGTGCTTTCCTCCACTTTTTGTTGCAATATAATGAAAATGGGTTGAATAACATTTTGAACTGAAGGAAGTTTTTTCTCAGTAAACAACCAAAACTGCGCGCCAACTTGAAAATTAATCTCATCATGAAGTTCTACATCAAGTTGTTATCTCTCGGGGAGATGGAAAAATTTTAAAATCAAATAATGGTGTGAACGAATAAATAAATATATGCCTTTTTCCGTATTTAAAGTATAACATTTAATGTTTCCTTTATACATTAATTTAAGAGACACGATATTTAGCCAATCAAAATCCAAGAAAATATTCCGTCTTGTCAGTACATACAAACCCATGCATGATGGTGTGAGACACTGACACCCAGCTTGCCGGTGTAACGACGAAAAGTGACCCCCGTAGAATATTGACCGGGGGGTCATTTTTCTACGTAGAAAAATGACCCCCCGGTCAATATTCTACGACAAGTAGGGTCATTTTTCGACTGTAGAAAAACATTCCAAACCATTAATTCTACGACTTCACACACGTTGAAAAATGACCCTCATAGAAATTTGACCCCCCTATATTTTATACAATAAAACCTTGTATATGTGTCTCCTGATTTTTTCATACTTTCAAATCCAAGTAGGGGGGATTTTCTTTATGTAATCTTTGAAAATTCTTGCAAGAAAAAAAAAATAGCACAGAAGCAGGAAAAAGGGATATGGAGATACCGAACAGTATTCAATATCAAAGTCCATAAAACAATACAAAATAGGAGCAGAGCAAACACGGACCTCCGAAACATCGAAAGCAATATTGTTTAACTATATAAATTCAATTCCCTTGGCTCTTACCTTTAAACTTACATATACATCTGTATGCATTTATTCTGCTTTAAAATACATACTTTTTAACTACCTTATATATTACTATACTTTTTACTTTATATACAGGAAATACAATACACATCAAGAAGTTCTTATGTATGGCATGTCAAACGTTGCAATATTTGATAATCTTGTGATGTATATTCAAAATCTTGTGATGTATGTTCGAAATCTTGTGATGTATATTCAAAATATTGTGATGTATATTCAAAATCTTGTGATGTATGTTCGAAATCTTGTGATGTATATTCAAAATCTTGTGATGTATGTTCAAAATCTTGTGATGTATATTCAATATCTTGTGATGTATATTCTAAAACTTGTGATGTATATTCTATAATCTTGTGATGTATGTTCGAAATCTTGTGATGTATATTCTATAATCTTGTGATGTATATTCAATATCTTGTGATGTATGTTCAAAATCTTGTGATGTATATTCAATATCTTGTGATGTATATTCGAAATCTTGTGATGTATATTCTATAATCTTGTGATGTATGTTCGAAATCTTGTGATGTATATTCGAAATCTTGTGATGTATATTCAATATCTTGTGATGTATGTTCAAAATCTTGTGATGTTTATTCAATATCTTGTGATGTATATTCGAAATCTTGTGATGTATATTCTATAATCTTGTGATGTATGTTCGAAATCTTGTGATGTATATTCGAAATCTTGTGATGTATGTTCGATAATCTTGTGATGTATATTCGAAATCTTGTGATGTGTGTTCTACAATTCAGTGATGCGTGCAATAAAATTGCATGACGCAACAGAAAAGTAAGGACAATTTTCATTGGTTAGAAATAACGAAAGTAGCTGAAGCGTCGGGAAAACCATGCAGGTGAGAAAAAACACAATCATCAGTTTGTTTATTGCAGCACTTATTACGAGATGCACGAGTGTTGTTCCTGGTGACATGATGGAGATATTTCGGCCTGCTAGGGAAAAAACTCAGTAAACGTAGATATATTGAAAAAATTTGTAGGTACTTGTAACGATATGTCACGATGCTGCATTGTCAGATACAGTATTTATACATGCATGCTAAAAAGTTAAATCTCGTAGTAATCAATATAGCAGAAGAATAATGAAGAGTACATACTACAAAAACTGTGCAATTTGTAGCAAGATTAATTTTTGTTTAACAGCTGTTTTTATTACATTTTATTTCGTATTATTACTACCAAATACTGCTACCGTTTGTTAATGTTATGCACATGGTTATCTTGTACTTGCAAGTAAATGAAACATTTAAAAAAAAAATAATGAAAAAATAAGTCATTTAGGCTATTTGATAATAACATGCTAAATGAACAGGTTTTGCTTTTTAATTCTCCTTCACTCAGTCTTTGTATAATGTATATTTTTAGACGAGCTGATCGCCAACCAGGAGATCAGAATGATCGCATCTGCTCCTGCCACTTTAAGGATGGTAAGAAGGAGGGGGACTCTGCATATTTTGCATGGAATGAAGGATAGGCCATGGATTTCTCTGATCCTGAATGTACAAAAAGGTGAAATTATTTTTCAAAATGTGACCGACATCTTGTTTTTGGATGGTGGGTGGGTGGAGTTTAATTGAGAATATTTTACTAAAAAACTTTAAAAGGGTACATGTATAAACAGAGTAGCTTACAACTGAATAAAAAAATAATTCAAGTTTAATTATTTTACAAAGGAGGAAAAAACTCAAAAGTGAGGAGTCCCTGTCATCTTCACAGATGGACCAGTTGCAGATTCCACAAGCACCAAAATGTCAATATCAAGAAAAAGTAAAGCTCATTTAAAACACCAATGATGACAAATGACCAACACTGAAACATTTTCAATAATTTTTAATAATATATAAAGTTCTTTTAACTGTACATGATTTACAATATATTTTCAGTTGATATCAGAGCACAAATACTCAGTATCCTGCACATTTAACTGTACTCAAGAAATGCAGCGCCTCTCAACAGAAATACAACTGGAAAAGGAATTGCTTGCCCTAAGAATAGAGTCTAGTAAAAGGAAGCCAATATCAATCCACGATATTAAATACAACGAAGAGAAGGTACATTTAAAGGAATTCCAATTGTGATTTCCTATTTCCTAACAATTTCAGTTACTGTAATAAAAACTTGTTGCCATTGAGGGATGAACATCTTAGATTGACTGTTATGTTAACATATTTTGTTATTATTTGGGAGTGTTAGGTCTCTGATCAGCAGGGGCATTTTCTCTATATAAGAAGAAAATGGAGACTCCCTACCCACCCGATGTATTTTGTCGGACAGTTTTCTGTACATTGCAGGTAAATTTTTTATTTATTAACTTTCCAGCCTCTTATTGTATAGTACATTTTGGGGTTTGAAGTCAGTTTTTGCTTTTCTTTAATTTTTAAAAAAAATTATTTAAATTCTCCTTTTCTTAGAATAAAATTCAAAAAGTAGCTTCTGATTGTAAAGTATAAGACTACAGACATTGAACTTTGATTTGTTATCAAAAGGATTGATTTAAACTTGTCTAAATTAATTGTAAACAAAAATAAAAGGGGGCACCTGCTATTTCTTTAAGCGTTTTTCACTGGGGGGTGGGGAAACTTTTTTGTACATACTTGAGCAATAGGAGGGATTAGATAAGAATCAATTAGTATATCAGAGTCTTAAATAATATCCTTTGCATAAGCATAAAAAAATTCTATATCAGTCTTTTTAAAACCTTTGAATTTTGCTTAATTAACTACGATTTATCCAATTTTGGAGCTTTTTACCTAATTCTGGGTAGAATCCACCCTTATGAAATTATTGACTCAATTTTGACTTAATATCACTTTATTAACATTAAAGCACAAAAACAATTCATTGTACAAATATTTTATTTCTTACAGTCACCAATATATCCAAATATCATCACCGGCCCAGACGTCATTCACTCCTTTGAATTGTGCTGGTAGCAGTAAGGTGTCATCATTTGAGATGGTCACAGTATCCAATACACTGAAGTCACAGGACTCAAATTTCATACATGTTCACAGGTAGGTGTATAATCTTTGAAATTACCACAATTGACTAATTCTGGGACAGGTAAGTATGTAAGTATAGGAATGAGAGCACCAAATCCCCGGATGCACACATGGCTTTGTTTGTTATGGAACATTAAACCGAATACTGAATGGGTAGGCGTTACGCCATTGGCTGAAATCAGGTATTTAATTGTTTTCATTTAAAAGTAAAATTAATGACCTTTGAAATAAATGATGGGATGAGGGAATATTACAGAAACTATAGAAATGCCAGGGAAGATTTTAGGAGTGGGGGTTGATTTTTTATGCCGCGTGTTCTTTACTGCGAATCTCTAAAAGTTGAAAATAACTGCAATTTTGACCTATAAACGCCATGGGACCATGTATTTTTTTCAGTATTTTTTGTTAGGGCTTAGAACAAAGTTTGAAATGATGCTAAAGATTTTTCTGAAATTGTCATAGTAAAGTACTGAGAGGGCCTAAGGTTTGTATGGAGTTCTATGGGAAAATAATTAGTGGTCTTTTCCCTATACAAGATGTTGTCTGATGGCGTAGTGTAGAATGTAGCGTAGAATGTTTTCCAAGTCAGCTTAAATGCAAAGGTTTGTTTTAAAATTTATCATAATGACTTGCAAAAATTTAATGCAGTTAAATTTATTGTATTCTTGAAAGATTGACTGTAACACAATTTTTTTACACAATTACAAATAATCAAATTAATTTTTTTCCAACTTTTTTTCAGAGTCTCTGCCAAAATCTTTTGAGGATTTTTCCTCTGCTAGAGCATCCATGGATGCAATTGAAACAATCCAGGACATCCCAACACATATGGATAATCAGGCCATGGCCTACAGTATGTACAAAAGTTGCCATACTTTTAAAGCAGTAACTTGCGTGCCTCCAAATGGTGCACTTACATTTTGCTCCATGCTGTACCCAGGTTCTACTTCTGATGTAGCTATTGTACGTCACAGCCAAGTTTTACGAAAGTTCAAAGCTGGAGACCTTATTTTGGTGGTCAAAGGTTTCACCATTCATGACCAGTTGCCCCAGGATGTCTGCTTAATTATAAAAGCTCTTTTATCGACACGAGGCCAGTTTACCATACAAGAAGCAGCACTGTGTTACAAGATTGCTAAAGCACTTATTCATGTGGAAAGAGCCAACGAGAGGATAAAGAATTACAAGATTCTCCGTCACATACCATCTACTTACAGACCAATCTCAACAAAAATATTTCAACTCTGTTCTTGTCTAACTTGTAAACTTGCAAGCTCCACTTTTGAAAGAAATTACTTAAAGATACATGTACTTATTATAAATTTGCATTGGCGTGTGACAGTATACACTAAACAGTGAAGATATTCATACCAAAGTGCAAGGGATAAGCAAATTTTGATTTGTTATCAATGTCAATGGTTATATTTATTAACTTTGTAGTATGTTGTAATACATATACTTCAGAAAATGAAAATCCCTTTTGTTAGCATGGATTTATTACAAGAATGTTTGGCAATTCCATTCTTCATTTGACAATATAATTTGGAAGAGGGTTTACTTATAATTTTAAATCTCTAGTTTAAAGTATATTTACCTTTAAAGCACAACTCAACAAATTCATGTTTTCAACAATTTATCTATTAAGAAAGACCAAAATGTTACATTTTCACTTTGAGAATAACATCTTCAATTCATTAATAAAATGATTCTAAATTTTGATATTCTTTTTTTATGTAGTACATAGATTTTATTAATCATCATTGCTATTTAAAATAGTCTTATAAGCCAGAAGTTTTATGATGGATTGTGACATATCATATCATACATTTATGAGACTTAGGAACATTCAACACATTTAACATGATTACCCATTTTCCATTGTTAGAAAATTCTAGAGGTACAAAACTAAGTGTCAAGAAGTTCAAACCAGAACTCAGTTTTCCATCAGTGCTGGAATGAAAATGTTAATGTAGAAATCTATCAGCTTTGGAACATTTGCTGTCCATTCAATGTCTTTTACTATTCTAATCACAATGCAGTCTACTCTTGTCCACACAATTAAGTCGCAGAATGTTTTGTTACATATGTGTAGCTGGCCTTGAATTTGATGATAGTATGGGTGACTGGTTTTCAGGCACAGGGTATCTTGTTTAAGATCTAAAAAAAATCAAAAAACACTTAAGTTGTGTTATACCAGTACATATCCCCTCCTTTTTCAATATCTTCATACCATATTGAACAGCTGCACTTGTAAATTAATACATGTTTTGAAATCATTTACTCACCAAGATTTTTAATTTCAAAGTACTGGACAATACAGATTTTTAATGTTATTTACCTATGAAAAATCCTTCAAAGTTTGTGCCCCATCTGCTACTGTTGAAGACGATGCTGTATATGGACACTTCACCTCTACAATATTAGGAATGGCGTCTTTGGCTTCTGGAGTTTGATAAAATACACTGCATGTTGGTGGTCGAATAACTAAGCCATCAGGTGAAGCTCCCAACACTCCGGATTCATGCAACCATATCCTTTTCAGAAAAAATTATAATACTACTGAATGCAAACAAACCATAATACAATTGATTTTGTAATGCAAACAAAGTCTAAGTAGAGCTTTTATAATCCTTCCACTTCAAAAAGCAAATTTTCTGGAATATGTTGGTAACTGAATATTTATGCCCCGCCATGAATATGGCCGGGGCATATAGTGTTTGTCATGTCCGTCTTCCGTCCTTCTGTCCTTCCGTCCCACTTTGTGTTTAGCTCTGTTCAAAGCTAAGTTTCAAAGAAACTATCCAAGATATTTTCATCAAACTTCATATGCTGATAGATATTGATGAGAGCTATGCAACTACATTAACATTTTTTGACCTTGACCTGACTTTTCTTAAATAGTGTTTAGCTCAGTTTTAAACATACCATTCAAGATGGTGTTATCAAACTTTACATGTTGATACAAACTTGCATAGATGATGCATCTAGAGATGAACACTACCGGACATGCTTCGGATGCTGGATCTGACCTACATTTTCCAGATGAGTGACCAAATTAAAGTTTTTGGAGCAGGTCCATTCTTAAGGAACTATAAGCCCTACTTAGACCAAACTTGCTTGGATGATGCATCTAAGGATGGACACTACCAGACTTGCTTTGGATGCTGGACCTACATTTTTATTCCCAACTAACTATAAGCCCTGCCTGAACCAAACTGATCAAATTTTATACATGTACAAATTTCATGTTGCTTTACTAATATATCCTCGGCGGGGCATTCATGTCCTATGGACATATTTCTAGTTTTTTTTACAATTAGACTTCAGTAATTGATTTCTGTTTGTCACCAGGATAAGTCCTGCTATTTGTTTTGACACATTGAATGTTAACATGTCAGAGGTTGAATGAATGTTATTTTGTGCTGTATACCTGACTGCTCTACAGCTGCATCTAAGTCCTTTTCATACTTTCTCAAAGCATCATCTTCATGAGTGATACCCCATGCAACAGCCTTGATGGACTCCAGATTGTAAGCCGACATCAGCTGTTTCTTCAGTGACAATGTCAATCTGGAGAAGAAAATATGATTTTTGGTTATTAATCTTATATTTCCTGCATCTTTATGTACAAATATCTAGTCATTACAGTCGAACCTCATTATCTCAAACTCAATGAGACCAAGAAAAATGTTGGAAATATCCGTGGATTCAAGAATAACACATAAAGAGTTATCAAGAATAAAATGTCCCAGTCTTTTATAAATGGTTTGGACTTCAAAATTACTGTGACATATCCATGAAATATAAGATAATGGGTTTGAGATAACAAAGTTTGACTGTAATTTTAAAAGTCTTTTTCGCAAAAATTTAATCACACGTCTTACCGCCTTTGCTTAGAACTGAGAACTGCACCAAAGTTGGAAGCTGATATGCTATATTTCCTTACAATCGACCACATTGGGTTGTTTCGTTGCCAATGCAGCTCTTTTAATGGATTCAGGGATAATGCATGCTGTAACCATACCATAGGGGTATCAGAATGAACATACTCTGGTGATGTTAACAGGTCTTCAATGAGAGGTACAGGTGGACCAGGTTCACATGGCTCTGGTTCAAGAATCCAATTCAATGCTGAAAAATTTCATTACTTGTGTCATTCTCAAAAATATCATCCATAATATCCATATCACATATACCAAGTATTTATTTAAGAGTCCATACATTTCATTTTAGTGAACACTGTCATGGGTTTTTGTAATGTATGCATTACATATCAAATTTACAACTCACTTGCATATATTTGTTCAGAATTGTTCCTGTATATAATTTTGCACGTGGCATTCTTAGTGTGAAAATGCCATGTAAAAATTGGTGCAAATGTACAATTAATATTTACTTAATTATTAACAAGGTTTTATAATGACAGAGTATTTAAATAATAGAAGAATGATCTGATAATTCGCAAGAATATGAAACAAAATATTTTTTTTAATGCAATTGAATAATTTATTTTTCCTTTCAAAAATGTATGCTCATGTACAAAAATGCTATCATATTTATAATATTGTCTTTCCAATTATTCAAAGGTTGTTATTATACAATTATTGCTGTGTTTTGAGGTCAATACAATGATTTAGCCATCTGAGGAGTACAATATTCACCGAGCCCGGAGGGCGAGGTGAATATTGTACTTCGAAGATGGCTAAATCATTGTATTGACCGAAAAAAACAGCAATAATTGTTTTATTATATGATTCACTAATAAAATGATAAAACCCATTACTTGTTTGCATTTGATTAAGTCCTATCCAAATACAATTAAGAGAGAAGCAGAATTAAAATGTTAATAAACCTTACAGGTCGTATTTATTTTTTTGTTAAGTTTTTTTTTTAAAATCAATTTTAGTTGCCATGAAAAAAAATTATGTCAGTCTTTTTTCTAGTATAGAGTTTTAAAGGAAGGAGTATTATCAGGGAAAACTGACTGCCAAAAAGTAAAAATTGTTTTTCAGTAAAAGTGTTGGAGGAGTGTCCATGCATCCCCTCTTATCACCCTCACCCGAAAATATATATTCGCTTAACTTATCTTCACATGAAAAAAAGTTATAGTAGTTTAAATAGCTTTCCAAATTCAATTTGTATCAATTTGGAATATCCCGATCTATTTTTAGATCAATGTAGAGGAAATAAATTCTTGTATTGACCTGGAACGTCACGTGCAGGTCAATACAACGTAGTATTTTTCTAACATAGTTGGATCTCAGCCAATCAGAGAGATGAAAACTATTCAATCATATAATAATAATATTTATTACATAATATGTTCAAAAATTGGGCAATATACATAGCCAACTATATTATACTCCTCATCTTTGTACATTTGTTCACAATTAAAATTAACCATCGTTCAGTAACAAAATAACAGTTTCATAATACTCGTAATATAAAAATCAAATCAAACTTAAATAACAACAATAGTGACACCGAAATCATAACTTCCTTCTTATATTTTACCAATAAACCTTCCAAGGTGCAAAAAACACTGGTCACTTTCATCAAAGGGTCGGTTTAAAGCACTTCAAATATGAAGCAAATTTTTTAACAACTGATTTATTTATATTTAATGATTGATCATTTTTTAAAAAAAAAAAAAAAAACAAGAGGCCCATGGGCCACATCGCTCACCTTTGTCACTGTGGCTAGGAAAAAGTAAAAATTGGTTTTTTATTGAAAAGTTTAAATCCAAAAGTAGTCCCTTGACCAATCATGGCTTTGCTTTTCTTGAGAAGGTTATTTTTAAAGAATTTTCCTATATATTTCTATATAAAATTTGATCATCCTTTGTGGCCACGTCCTACCCCTGGGGAACATGATTTGAACAAACTTGAATCTACACTACCTAAGGATGCTTCCATATAAATATGATCAATCAGGGTTTTGCTGTTCTTGAGAAGAAGATTTTTAAAGATTTTTCCTTTATATTTCTATGTAAAACTTTGATCTTCCATTGTGGCCCCGCCCTACCCCGGGGGTTATGATTTGAACAAACTTGAATTGACACTACCTGAGGATGCTTCCATATAAATAGGATCAATTATGGCTTTGTCATTCTTGAGAAGAAGATTTTTAAAGAATTTTCCTATATATTTTTATGTTAAACTTTGGTCAGCCATTGTGGCTCCGCCCTACCCCCGGGGGTCATGATTTGAACAAATTTAAATCTACACTACCTGAGGATGTTTCTCCATAAGTTTCATTTTTCCTGGCACAGTGGTTCTTGAAAACAAGATTTTTAAAACATACCATCAAATTTTCATTAATTCCCAATTATCTCCCCTTGAATGAGGGTGTGGCCCTTTATTTGAACAAACTTGAATCCCCTTCACCCAAGGATGCTTTGTGGCAAGTTTGGTTGAAATTGGTCCATGGGTTCTAGAGAAGAAGTCGAAAATATGAAAAGTTTACAGACAGACAGATGGACAGACAGACAGACAGACAAACAGCTAGATAGACAAAATGTGATCAGAAAAGAGCTAGAAATGAAACATTCCTCACCACAAAAGCCAGAAGAATATAGGGACCACCACCAGTAACATGTTTCTGGGAAGAACCAAACCATGCAGAGATAAATATCAATAGTCCTGAATCTTCGATGCAGGACCAAGTACGAGAATTGCTACAAACACTACTCCGGAGACTTACCTATTATCCTATGATGTAACGTACTTTGTCCACTGCAGCTGGTTCCCTCATAAGCTGGTAGCGAGGACAGTTCAGGATGTCCTGTCAACTTTATTCCTCAACTTCCTGTCTTGGACTGAAAAGCAATAAGTGGAAATCTTTAGTGTTGCCTAGTGACTTTGAATTAAAAAGAAAGTTTTTAGATTGTGAAGGGGGGGGGGGTACTGATGTTGTGCATTTTAATTAAATGTACGAAATCTGTATTTCACAGTTTAATGCATTCATGTATTTTGTGAATTGTCTTAGGATTCATGTAATAATTGTTGCTATGTATTATTAAGCACTAAATCTATTCAACTGCATGTGTAAATGGGGAAAATGTGGATATGTAAATGATGTATAATTGCAATGTGTAAAATGTGACATTTTCTTATATGAGGGAGTCTGTTCATGTAATTTTTTTTTCATTAATTATTTTATTTATCTTGATAAAATTATTTCAATTAACAATATTGTTTTTCTTACCAGTCTGATGAACTCAACAAAGGTTACAGAGGTGAATGGTAGAAATATGGGTATTACAGGTGTCAAAACTCTTCGTTGATGACAGACTGCATGCCGCACTGTAAAATCACCATTTTGGATCTTTAAAAGGGGAGGCTACTCCTGAAATCAAAGAAATTGTCATAAAAATGAGTACCGGTAACCTGATTTTCTTTAGGTCTCACACAAGGAAATAATTTCACTATATGTTACTATATAGCTTTAATTAAATAAATTAATTAACTAGACTCTCAGCAGATAATTCATGAATGAGAAAAAAGATTAATGCTTAGACAAAATTTGAGATCAGAAAAAATATACCCCTTATGCAGCTTTTAAGAAAGAAAATTGAGACTAAACATACCTATACCCCGAAATACACATGGGCAAACAGCCAACACACCATCAAGGAAGTTACATCGATCACACCTAAAAAAAAAAGAGTTCCCTTTGATTCAGTGGCACAATTCTGCTGATATGATATTCCTAGTGCATGAGTCCAACATTAAAACTGTAGACCTACGTAAAGTTCCTGAAAATGAAAAAAGAAAAGAAATATTATTGTCTCTATATACATCATACATAGAACTACATTTGTTCATTTTGATTGGCTATCTCCTTGCATAAGACCTTTAAGGGGTAATTTTATGATATTTACCATGTGCACTGATTGCCATAAAACTAAAGAAAAAATACCAGCCTTACAAAGTCACTTAACCATGACCTTTGACATACCTTACTAAGAATACCCTGGACAATTTGGTTTAACTTAAGACTTCTGAATTTTTAAATGCAGGTTTTGATAAATTAACCATTTAATATACTTATGAGCTCATAAAACTGTCCTTTAAAACTGTATGATAAAGAGTGTAAAAACTTTGAAACATGTTTGGAAAGTATTATCACACATGTGATATGGGATAAATCATCACCACAGAAAGATCAAAGAAAATCACTGCAGATATGCGACAATAATTCTTATCATTGTTTATTGTATGTCAAGTCTAGAATATGATATATCATTACAAATATTATGATTTTTAGCCGGGCACATTGCTCGTAGAGCAATGCTCAGCTATAGCGACGGTGAGCAACAGAAAATGCTGCTTCTTCACCGCCAAATTGAGTTTACGAGTAAAAGTATGGTACGTGACCAGCCGCTGTTGAGAAAACAAAATCACCTTAAGAAATAGTAAATTGAATATTTTTATCATAATATTAAATTGTTTAATATTTTTTCCTGGCTCCTTTGACTAATATTTTACAAAGTAATTCAACGGGTGCAAAAGGTTTTCACCAGGTATCCCTGTCTGCATCATATTCTATAAACAATATAATTAAAATTAGATGTTAGATCGGCTCGCATACTCAACACACTAACATCTAACAGGTCATCCCATTGAGGGTCACGTAAGAGGTTAAATTCGGAACGCCTCAAGATTTATTTGCTTCAACAATATATGATGATTTGCCAGCTGCGATTTGATTAATTGATAGAATTTGACCTCTGACGTGACCCTCAACGGGATGTTGTTAGATGTTAGTGTAGCGAGTATGCAAGCGGATCTAACATCTAATTTGAATTAGATTGATTCTATAAATAAAGGTTGTACTAGCTATCAGGCTAACACAAATGCAGGGAACATCATTAATGACTTGATGCAAATCTCACCGCTGAGGACACATCAGTGCAGAGACGTTTGACCTTAATCTTGCTGCATCGGTGTTTATTTACTTCTGTTTGTATATAAAACCGGATTACCCCAAAACGATATGTGATAAATATTTTTCGCTGTTAATTTCTAGCTATATTTTATTTTATTTTTAAAACTATTTAATATTATACATGCCATTGAGATATTTTTGTGTGTATTACATATTCTCTAAACGTCTGAACGTGATTTTAAACTGTCACCACAGTCCTTGTTCATTATCCTGTAAATGAGCCCGGCTCAATACATTTACTATAAAAATAATTGGACAAATTTGTGAATGACAATATTCAATGATGCATAGCAATTAATCTTTTCCTGACATTCACATTCTCCTAAAAATTTGTCGTGTTATTTATTTATTTATTGCAAAGTCGTCCCTGGACTAGTGCTACGGTCAATGCAGCTGCAATGGGCCATGCAATTTCGAACCCTGCGTGGTGAGAGTTTGTCCCGAGACACAGTTAGATTATTCTAACTAGCACCAATATAGAATAAATCATACCGATTAATCAACATCACTACAATATGAGGACGTAAAAATAGGATAAAACATCCTTTAGTCCAGCAATAACTGAATAAGCCACTAAATTGTTTTTGATGTACCTTCAAACAAATCAAATTAATGTTCTTGATTCCCACTTTTCACGTTATGACTGACTTAGTGCTTCTTGATACCAAAACAATTTTTCTATTACCTATAATTTTGACTTTAGGTTGAATTCGCCAATTTCATGCTTGCGAAGTTGTGTCAATGTGTGCATTACGACCGCTCCGGCTACTTTCGTTATTTCTAACCAATGAAAATTGTCCTTACTTTTCTGTTGCGTCATGCAATTTTATTGCACGCATCACTGAATTGTAGAACACACATCACAAGATTTCGAATATACATCACAAGATTATCGAACATACATCACAAGATTTCGAATATACATCACAAGATTTCGAACATACATCACAAGATTATAGAATATACATCACAAGATTTCGAATATACATCACAAGATATTGAATATACATCACAAGATTTCGAATATACATCACAAGATTTCGAATATACATCACAAGATTATCGAACATACATCACAAGATTTCGAATATACATCACAAGATTTCGAACATACATCACAAGATTATAGAATATACATCACAAGATTTCGAATATACATCACAAGATATTGAATATACATCACAAGATTTTGAACATACATCACAAGATATTGAATATACATCACAAGATTTCGAATATACATCACAAGATTTCGAACATACATCACAAGATTATAGAATATACATCACAAGATTTCGAATATACATCACAAGATATTGAATATACATCACAAGATTTTGAACATACATCACAAGATATTGAATATACATCACAAGATTATAGAATATACATCACAAGATTTCGAACATACATCACAAGATTATAGAATATACATCACAAGTTTTAGAATATACATCACAAGATATTGAATATACATCACAAGATTTTGAACATACATCACAAGATTTTGAATATACATCACAAGATTTCGAACATACATCACAAGATTTTGAATATACATCACAAGATTTTGAATATACATCACAAGATTTCGAACATACATCACAAGATTTTGAATATACATCACAAGATTTTGAATATACATCACAAGATTTCGAACATACATCACAAGATTTTGAATATACATCACAAGATTTCGAACATACATCACAAGATTTTGAATATACATCACAAGATTATCAAATATTGCAACGTTTGACATGCCATACTTATGATGATATTACAAATTCCTCCAAAACTGGCAAAAAATTACACCTGAGTGAATAATAGTTCAACCTTCAGAGATATCTATAATTAAAATAAAAACTTAAAAATCTCTTTTCAACACTTTTAAGACCACAGACACGTGACCAATGGTTGTCGTTACATCTCCTTTCTTCTGAGATTTTATAGACATTACCTTTGCAAACTGATGAACTCTTAGTAGTCATGCCCTTACTTCAAATTAAATTTCTAGCACATACCGTCCAAAAGTTAATGTTAAAGTAAAAGTGTGGAATTGTTGATTTTTTCACAATGGATTAAATGTATCAGATCCATGTTAACGCCGCGTATTCAAAGATTGAGGGGTAATATGAAAACCATCATTCATTCTGTGTTCAATAATCCAGAAGTGAAAAAAAAAATAGATAGATTATATGATCAGTACGTACTGGTCCTTGTCGACAAAGCAGGTAACAACATTGTCTTCGTTTGTAAGTCTCATTAATTGTATTTTAGAAGAACTTTTAAGATTTAATTCTACAAGTGGTAATCCTACTTATACTCATACTTCCCATTCTAAGGAAGAAATTCTTCAAAATTGTAGGTCAGTTTTAAATATTTTTAATATTCCACAGAACAAAAATGAATTTGAATTACCCGATATATATTGGATTCCAAACAAAGACACATTGCGGATTCCAGTAAATGTTCATTCAAATCTCTTTTGTACTCCGCACTAAAGTATTGACAGTAGAGAAGGAAAAACTCTTAGTGTACTGCGCAACAATATATTCAAAAAGTGGGGTGAACCAGGATTTTTGATTTCAATGACAGCTGCTTTTTTAATAAAACGGAACTTGTAAATTTACAATGGTCATTGGTCATTTGCAAAATTATTTTGTTAAAACACATTGCACACACAAGTACTCTGAAGTTGACGTGAAAGAGATGCTTGAGTTACTGATCGACAATATCTGTTTTGTTTGTTTTTTGGGTTTTTTTTTTTTTGAAAACCACATATTCCGACAATAAATTGGAATTCCCATAGGTACCAATTGCGCTCCGTTATAAGTAAATCTATTTTTATATTCACATGAAACAGAATTTGTGCGAAGTCTAATGCGTGAAAAGAAGAAAATACTTTCTGTGGCCTTCAACTCAACATTTAGATATATCGACGACGTATTGTCAATTAACAATGGTAATTTTCATTCCTACGTCGATACGATATATCCTTGTGAGCTAGCTTGAGATGAAAGATACCACAGAGTCTGACACATCTGTCTCACACATGGATATTTTACTTGAAAAAAGACGTTAATGGTAATCTAACAACCAGGCTTAATGATAAATGTGATGACAAACTTTTCTATCGTCAAATTTCCTTGGTTATGCAGCGATTTACCTTCATCACCTGCAAACGGTGTGTATATATCTCGGTTGATTCTCTACATATGAACAATTTCTAAAACGAAGTAAATTAATGACAAGCAAGTTAATGAAATAAATAACAAGAATATCGGCAGTCTCATTTGAAGTCAATATTTCGATAATTCAATGGTTGACACAATGACATTGTCAGCAAATGCAATTTATCAAATTGAAACAAATGCTGACTAATGTTTTTCGTGCTTTTTGTTAGTCCGTTATTTGTGCATCGAGTTTGCGGAGGATTTTCCTGTTATTTCCCAGTCGTGACAGGGAGAACATGGCAGGTGTGACCGGTCAGCAGGGGATGCTCATTCCTCTATGGCACCTGATTCCATCTCTGATGTTTCCGAGGTTCGTGTTTGCTCTGCTCCTTTATATTTTGTATTGTTTTATGGACTTTGATATTGAATACTGTTGGTTAATATCTCCATATTCCCCTTGTGTAAAAGTGTGTCAAACTAAATATTAAAGGTCAATATTAAAAGGTCAAAATTGATTGTACACAAAAAGGTCTTGTCACAAAAATACACTTGTAAAATATGAAAGCCGTAGCCTTACCCAGTCATGGGCATGGGCAAGGTTCAAGTTTTGCGGACAAATATACAAACAGACAAGCGGACAGGTAAAATGCTATATACCCCAGAAACTTTGTTTACGGGGGCATAACCCCGGAAATTTCGTTTACGGGGGCATAAGTATATCATGTAAAGTAACAACTTTTTCATCTTCTAAAATTTTTTTTCTATTGGTAAAAAACTCCTAAAATCACCATATGTATTTTTTATGTACATGATAGAACGGGGAAAACGATACTACATGTGCCTTTTTTTGGAAAGATGGGAACTTATCATTATTTTTTTTTTTAGTTAATCATGTTTTATGCTACAATCCCTATTTTGTTAACACTAGCAAACGACAAAAGACATTTTACAGGTTTTGAGCTAACCACTTTTTGTTTTCCTTGTATCATACATAAAGGTCAGAGGCAATTTAATTTAGTACTTATTTTTACAAATTAAATCATCCCTATTTTTTTTAAAGAAGTTTGAAACTTCATTCATAGAAAATCAAATATTTTTATACGATTTTTTTCTATGTTGGAACCCTTTTTCGTGCCCGTTTTAAAAATAGGGATAAAAAACGTTAAACTTTTGAAAAATGATGTATCCAGGGTAAAATCAAAAAGATTCCTTATTGATTAATAACGGAAACTTTTCTTTCTGACACCATATATGTCAGCTAGAAATGACCCATACTACCCATAGTCCTCTGCCTCTCCGCACATAGAGATTTGAGATTTGGTGTGGTACAAACGAACTCTGGCGGAAGTTTGGAAATAACCCTTTTTAAGAATTAAAATGGCAACTATGGAAACTTATTTACTGGTATAAAATTTAATAAAAGTTTCTATGAATTCTCGTATCTTTGCTCTTATAGCCTTTGGGTTAGAACATTTTGATACCGTTTTCCTCTAGTGGAGATAAACAGTTTGTATCATTAATGCAAGGTATTTTATCGCTTTGATTTCGTTATTTTAGCTTAAAAGCTTTCAGAAATTAACACTTTAAAGCATAAGTCAGCTTGATATTACCCGCTTGCATATGCCTAATAAGAATATTCCTTCTAAAATGAATTGTTTTGGCATCAAAAAATGACAAGGGGGTCATTATTCTACGGGGTCAATTTTCTACAATGCACACGGAGGAATATGACCCCAAGGCCATGATTTCTACAGAAAAAGGGGTCATTTTTCTACATAGAATATTGACCAGGGGGTCAAATTTCTACGTAGAAAAATGACCCCCGGTCAATATTCTACGGGGGTCACTTTTCGTCGTTACACCGGCATGCAAGCCAAATTTTGACACCATTTAGATGCGGATTTAATATATTATCAAGGTGAAAAAAAAATAGAATACATCCCACTATCTTAAAAGATCAAGAAAATTATTTTGTAATTTGGGGACGACCATTTGATTCTGAGGGGGTGATTGCAGATTTTGAAAATAAATTATCTGTCTTCGAAAATGATGAAAATAAATAATCCGTCCTTGATGGACAAGAATATAAATAACCTGTTCCTGACCAGTGTCATATTTCACCACCCCCACCCCACCCCGAATTAGAGTTTTGGTCTAATCACTATGTTAAGTTTTGTTTGTCGGACTTATTTCAGAGGGAATGGATGGTGTAACACCCCCATACTAGTATTTTTATGTACATGTATACCTTATGCGGCCAATCTTTAGATATTAACAAAAGCGGAAAATGATATCAAATATCGAAATATAAGAATGATAGACTAGGAAATCATGTAATTTTGATAATTTTTTTTTACCATAAAAATTCTCAGAAGCTGGAAGGGGGTGGGGAGGTACACCATCCATTCGACAGGTGCCTGTGACTTACCGGTATTTCGGTGAAGAAAATAAATATCCTGTCCTTGGTCTTATTGGAAATAAATAATTTATCCTTTACCGACATATAAGAATAAATAATTTGACTCGGAACCCCCCCCCCCTTTTTCAGATTCAAATGATTATCCCCTTTCGAAAAAACTATTCGCTGATGTAATTTAGAGATGAATTTATAACATATCGAGAAAGTTGTTCGCAATATTAATGAGATCATTTTCTCCCAAGGCTTATCATAAAGAGATGTTTTTTTTTAAATTTGATGCAGTCACTAATAAATCTAATTTTATTGTAGTAGAGGATGGAAATGAAAAGTTTAGTCCATAAAATTTTTTTTT